TCTCGGGGCTCGTCTAGCGGGGGGTCAGTGCGACCCCAGTCCCCGGCTCTGTCGGCCTCTCGACTGGACAAACATCCCCTTGGAACCCAACTTGGGGGCATACGATGGGGGGAGGTGGCGTCCATTCTCGATCGGGGTGGCAGCAAATCAAGCAACTCTAAAACGAAGGCACCGAAACTGTGCGCGTGTAAAATATGATTATGGAGATACTCTACACTTGCCCAGGCGATGGAAATCCCATCGTAGGTGTTCGTGCCTCTGCCTATCTCATCCATAACCCTGGGGGTGTATCCCCAAGTCCCCCCTCTCTGAACGTGGGAGGGGCGTAAAGGTGAGGCAGAAGTGGGGTTGAAGGGAAATCGCTCCAAACGGCCCCTAGAAGAAAGAACTCATAGCATCCAGCTAGGTTCGTCCCCCAGCCCCACCTTGGGATAACCCCCCCTCTACAAACCCCGAAAACGGCCAGTCCCGCTTGGGGGTGACCTGGGGACTACGGGCGAGAAGCCGCCCGCGATCGTCGCCAGCGGCGGACCTGTCGCCTGCGGACAGCGCCCCTCGTTTTGTGAAGCTGCTGCAGCCCGCCACCTACTCCAGAAGACAAAACGGTATCAACCAGTATAATTAAGACGCAAGGACCTTGGAAGGCCATGTCGACACTCTGCGGGCGGGGCGCGGCCAGCGAAGGCGGCCAAGCATGGGCCGCAGGGGAAGGATGCAAGGGTAATCTTGGAAAGTCGCTCATCCTTAATTCCTATGCGGGTTGACTGTAGGGAGGGAGGGATCGGGGGGAACGCAAGGGTATGATAGCAAAGGGTAAGGTAGAGAATCAGCTCACGTAGCTGGTCTTCCTGGCGCCTCCTGGCGCAGGGAGGCGCCCATGTATCGAGGAATGGGCGGCGGGGCCAGAGCCAGCAACATGCAGCAAACTTCGTACCCCCCCCCTTTCCTATATCGCCTCCTTCCGTCCGGCCCGACAGGAGGCAGGGAGTGCCGGACCAGAAGGCGCCGCGGTGGGCGCTCGCGGCGGGACCCAGAAGGCCGCAAAGGGAGAGCATCACGGGCAGCAGAAGAGACAGAGCGGTGCGCGCGCGCGCGGGGAGGGGGGCAAAGACCGTCGCCCTACGGGAGCGCCCAGCGGCCGCCGGCAAGCGTTCCACGGGGGGCGGAGGCGGCCGGCGGCGGCGGCCGCCGGCCGGCCCACAGCCATAGGATGTCGACGGCGGGCACCGCCGCGGCCGCCGCGGCGGCCGCCCGCAAGTCCGCGGAGAGCGGAGGGGGGGGGGGTGCGGCATGCCGCCGTGCACGCGGCGCCTCTGGCGCGCCTCGCGGCGGCGGCGGCGCGCCGAGGGGGGGGGGGGGGCGGCAGGAAGAGGCGGGGGGTGCGCATCACGGCCCGAGGCATGGGAACGGATCAGCCGGGCCAGCGGACGTGCTGCAAGAAGAGGGGGAGGGCAATCGATCTGGGAGATCTCATGGCCCAGGCAATGATGCCCCCGTAACGTGGACCCCCGGAGGTCTCGACCCGTTCCCCAGCTGCAGAGCCGCTGTTTGGGCTGCCCTGGTGCCCAGGACCTAGAATAGCGAAAACCGCCCGTCGTGCTCCTTGACGCGATGCGAGGGGGGTCCTGGGAAGTACCTCCCTGGCGTCAGGCTGGGCTGGATGGCTCAGCACACGGCTAGCTCGTCCTCGTCGTGCCAGGCCCCCAGCTCGTGGCGAAAGGCCTGCCGGCGTCGGGCTGGGCTGGATGGCTCAGCACACGGCGAGCTCGTCCTCGTCCTGCCAGGCCCCCAGCTCGTGGCGGAAGGCCTGCCACGGGCGCGCCCCGGGCAGCTGGCCGGGACGCGCCGCCCAGCTGCGGACGGAGCCCCTCAGCGGCTGCCGGCGCTCCATCGCGGCGTGGTCGCCGACCCACCAGCGCCCGTCGGAGGCGAGGTACAGCCAACGCTCCTGGTTCACCTGGTGCTGGAACGCGGGCGCCTCGTCGTCGCCGCTCGCCTCTGGCATGAAGTCGTACAGGCCCTCGCAGTCCTCGATGCCCTCGGGCACGCCCGTCAGTCTCACCACCGGCGCCTCAGCGGCCACCTCCCGCGCGGCACGCCAGGCGGCCGCCGCCGACTCCGGGGTGAAGAAGGCCAGGTCGCAGTCCTCCTTCCAGACCTTGTGGTCCGTCAGCTCCGTCCAGCCCTCCACCTCATCGGGTAGGATGCCCGGGGCGACGGCCCTCCTGCTGCGCAGCCAGCTCCCGCCGCTCCGCTGGTCCCTGGAGGCGGCGCTGCCAAACCACCAGTGCCCGTCATCCGCCACGTACAGCCACAGGTCCGCGTCCGACCTCCGCTGGTACACCGGGGGCTGCGAGGCGTCAGACTCCGACGCGGTGGCGAGGACGTAGGTGCCGTGCTCGGTGGCGTTGCCCCAGAACTCGAGGCTCGTGGCCCTCTCGCGCGCCTCGGCCCACTTGTCGGCCGCGGTCATGGCCGTCTCCACTGGCTTGATCTTCACGTGGGCCTCCCGGAAGGAGTTATCAGCTGAATCAGCCGCCCAAGGCGATCTCACTGCCCAGGGGAGCTGGCCGGGCTGCACGTCGTCGCTGTGCGCGATGCCCATCGGCGTCCTGCGGACCATGTGCGCCTCGGAGCCAATCCACCACTGCTGGTCCGAGGCCAGATACAACCACACGCACCTGAACACCTGGTGCCGGAACACGGGAGGCTCGCCTGCGGAGCTCGCACCAGGGACAAAATCGAAAAGCCCGTCCGCGTGCTTGGCGTTGAGGCCGCTCAGTCGAACGACGGGGCACTCGCACGCCTCGACGCGGGCCTCCTGCCACTGCGTCTGGACTGCCTCTGGGAGCCAAAACTTCGTGCCCCTCGCCTCCACGAAGTCGCCTGCGGCCAACACCTCCCAGCTCCCCACCGCGTGCGGCAGGGTCCCAGGCTCGACCGCGTCCGCGCTGCGGAGGTACCCCCGCTGTCGCCGCGGCTTGCGCGCGTCCTTCGACTCGTCGCCGCCGATGTACCACTGGCCCTGCGTGCCGACGTACAGCCACCTCGAGAGCTCCGCCTGGCTCTGGTAGGCCGGAGGGCCCGTGGCGCCGGCCCCGCCGCTGGCCAGGAGCCTGTAGGTGCCGTTGACGTAATGGCTGCCGCTGCCCCACGCCTCGATCGCAGGGAACCGCTCCGCGACGCTGCGGGCGTGCGCCCACTTCGCGGCTGCCGTGCGGCAGCTCCGCGGCGGCGGCAGGTGCGCATCCAGATACATCTGGGCGTCCGCCGTGCCCCGGCGCAGCTCCGCCAGCGCGGCGCCCTCCGCCTCCCGCCGAGCGCGGCCGCACGCCACGCCGGGCGCCTGCGAGCAGCTCTGGCGGGCGCGACCGACGGGGGCGCGCTGGATGCCGCCGCCGCGGCCGGCGGCCTGGGAGCGGGCCTCGCCTCGCCCAGGGCCCATCCCGGTGCAGGCCAGGTCCTCGTCCGTCAGCGCGTCCTGCAGCCGCACGCAGGAACGACCCCTGGGACAAGGGGCCCTTGGCGTGCGACCTGCCGACTGTCGCGCGTGCGGTGCGACAGGTGTTAGCAGCCTGCGTGCTTGGGTTTGACCGCCCCCCCTCTCCCCCCAAGCCGCGCACCAAACAAACACCACTCTGGCGAAAGGTCTCCAGCGGCCGTGCGAAACGATTCGGGCACCCAGGAACGCTCTCGGCGAGCCGCAGCTGCTCGAACGCATCCCGAGGCAAGAAAACCTGCAACCACCGATAAGAAGGCGCCCGACAGCCCTTCCCCCGAAACCTGCGCATACCAAAGGCCACATCGGCCATGCCGCCCGCTCGTGCGTTCTTAGAGGAACCCCAGACAGAGCATAAACATAAGCTTTCGGAGGTCCGCGTGGACTCCTCGGATCGCCGCTGGACCCTCTTCGCTGGCGCGCGGAGCGCGCCAGGGGTGGCGCTGGAGGCGCCCCCAGGGGGGGCCCAGCGCCGATCCAAGAAACCTGCAGAGCTTAAAAAGTAGATGTTATTTTCATGGAGTCGTCGTCATCAAGCGTCGTCGCTAAGTTAGCTGAAGGGCGCGTCACCAGAATCGACATCATCACACCCATGGCAGTTGCCAGCAATTGGTTATTTTCCCCCCACCCCCCAACCTTCTTATCACCCGAATGGTGGTCGCATATACGGCAGGTTCGTGTCGTGCCGACTCCGGCCTGGGTTTCTGACACCGAGGGGATCGTTCAACCTTGAACGATCGGCCATTTGTGAAACGTCAGACCCTTCAACATCGCCCGATTTTGGGTCGCAGGCGGCGTTCAACATTGAACGCTGGCGGCGGGGTCGCCCCCTGCCGACACGACGCGAACCTGCCGCAGGCATGTTTACGGACTTCGTCCTCCCCGAATGCAGCCGCGCCCTCCTCGGGCGCGGGCCCGCTGCGCGGAGGGGTGCCGGGCGGCACCGCCGCGGGCACCTCCAGGCGCGCCGAGGCACGCCGGGGGGCCTCCGCCCGCCCGAAGGGGCCCGGCAGCACCCGCCGCGGCCGCGGGCGCGCCGCCTCGCCATCGAGGCCTCGCCCGCCCGCGCCGCTGGCGCGGGAGCCGCGGCTGGAGCGCTCCGACGAGGCGACCGCCGACGACCGGCTGCCGCGCAGCGGCGCCTCGGCGGCCGGCCCGCGGTCGGGCTCCGGGCGGTGCGCCGAGGCCCTGCCGTCGGCGCCCTGGAGGGCGCCGGGCTCCCAGCTCCTGGACCCGTCGTGCCATGCGTCGGCCTCCTCGCCCGCCTGCGTGTCGAAGGGCGCTCCGCCTCCCGAGGCACCGCGAGCGCCGCCGCTGCTGCGGCGCGAGTCGCGGCCAGGCTTCGAGCGGGGGTCTCCTCGGGACGCCTATACAGGGGAGCGCCAGGGGGCACACGCGGAAACCGTCGGAGGTCAGGGCGGACTTCTCGGATCGGCTCTAGACCCTGCACCCTGGGCGCACGGAGCGCACCCAGCGCCGATCCGGGAAATCGGCGCGGACCTCAGAACACAGTATGCTTGTGGAGTTGTCCCTTCCTCGACGCCTGCTGCTGGCTCTCGGCGCCTGGTCTGCTGCTGCAGTGGTGGGAGCCGTGGGCGGACTCTGGCGTGAGCCTGCCACCGCTCTGCGCCGACTCTTGGCTGGGCCCCTGGAGCGCTTCTCCCCAGGGCACCTCGGAGGCCCTCAAGACGCACCCCACCGCACCCCACCCTCCCATCGGCCGGCACCCCCTCCTCCTCCTCCTCCTCGTCGTCGTCGTCGTCCTCCTCCTCCTCCTCCTCCTCCTCCTCCTCCTCATCCTCCTTCTCCTCCCCCTCCGCCCTTGATGCTTTCCCTTCCTTTTTTCCTTTTCCATCCCCCTGCCCAGGTGCCCTAACCTTCCAGAGGGCCTAAGAAATAGCACCGGCACCTTGACGTCAGAAGTTTTACGTAAGTAACGCAGATCGGCAGCCCTGGAGTGCTATTTTTCAGCACTCTGGAGAATCAGGATACCCCCCCACCTCCCCCTTCCTCCCTGGCGCCCACAGACGGGAGGAAGGCAGGTGGATGGCCGGAGGGATGGCTAATTAGGGACGAGTGAGCGGCGTGGCGATTATGGCATGCTGGGGGCTGCAGTGGACCGATTGGGAGGCAGCCCAGGACACCTGGCGGTCGAGGTGCAGACTGCCCGTGCTGCTGACGCGGCCAGGGCGGCTGTCGGGGCCTGCGCTCGCAGGGCTGCCCGTGCTGCCGACACGTCCAGAGCGGCTGTCGGGGGCGCCTCCGTCCCCGCTGTCAAGCGGAGGGCCCCCCCGAAGCGACGCCTTCCGCTCGCGGTCCTCGGGCGCCAGCCCCCCAGGCGCCGTCGTGGCCTCGCGCACGCGCCCATGGCTGCAGGACTGGGGGCTGTGGCCCCAGTGCTCCGTGGCCGCGCGCACTCCCTCTGGCGACAGCCCACCGCGCAGCGGCGTCGACTCCAGGCTGGGCCTCGAGCGCAGCTCCCCACGGGACGCCTCCTCGCGCGCCGCCGCCGGGGTGCCTCCCGCACCCAGGAGCGGCCCTAGGCAAGAGTTACCTGACGCGCGCGGCTTGCCGATCGCTGCGCGCGGCGCGAAAGCAGCGGCCTGCGCGCTGGGGTAGGGCAACGCCGCGCGCCCAAGGTCACTCTGGCGAAGGGTCACCCTTACGTCAGGCCGAGCCTCCGCTGCTGCCGCTGGAAACGCGCCGGGAGCGCCGAGAGGCTGGTCCTGCGCTCGCAGGGCTGCCCGTGCTGCCGACACGTCCAGAGCGGCTGTCGGGGGCACCTCCGTCCCCGCTGTCAAGCGGAGGGCTCCCCCGAAGCGACGCCTTCCGCTCGCGGTCCTCGGGCGCCAGCCCCCCAGGCGCCGTCGTGGCCTCGCGCACGCGCCCATGGCTGCAGGACTGGGGGCTGTGGCCCCAGTGCTCCGTGGCCGCGCGCACTCCCTCTGGCGACAGCCCACCGCGCAGCGGCGTCGACTCCAGGCTGGGCCTCGAGCGCAGCTCCCCACGGGACGCCTCCTCGCACGCCGCCGCCGGGGTGCCTCCTGGCTGCACGCAGGAGCGGCCCTAGGCAAGAGTTACCTGACGCGCGCGGCTTGCCGATCGCTGCGCGCGGCGCGAAAGTAGCGGCCTGCGCGCTGGGGTAGGGCAGCGCCGCGCGCCCAAGGTCACTCTGGCGAAGGGTCACCCTTACGTCAGGCCGAGCCTCCGCTGCTGCCGCTGGAAATGCGCCGGGAGCGCCGAGAGACTGGTCCTGCGCTCGCAGGGCTGCCCGTGCTGCCGACACGTCCAGAGCGGCTGTCGGGGGCGCCTCCGTCCTCGCTGTCAAGCGGAGGGCCCCCCCGAAGCGACGCCTTCCGCTCGCGGTCCTCGGGCGCCAGCCCCCCAGGCGCCGTCGTGGCCTCGCGCACGCGCCCATGGCTGCAGGACTGGGGGCTGTGGCCCCAGTGCTCCGTGGCCGCGCGCACTCCCTCTGGCGACAGCCCACCGCGCAGCGGCGTCGACTCCAGGCTGGGCCTCGAGCGCAGCTCCCCACGGGACGCCTCCTCGCACGCCGCCGCCGGGGTGCCTCCTGGCTGCACGCAGGAGCGGCCCTAGGCAAGAGTTACCTGACGCGCGCGGCTTGCCGATCGCTGCGCGCGGCGCGAAAGTAGCGGCCTGCGCGCTGGGGTAGGGCAGCGCCGCGCGCCCAAGGTCACTGTGGCGAAGGGTCACCCTTACGTCAGGCCGAGCCTCCGCTGCTGCCGCTGGAAATGCGCCGGGAGCGCCGAGAGACTGGTCCTGCGCTCGCAGGGCTGCCCGTGCTGCCGACACGTCCAGAGCGGCTGTCGGGGGCACCTCCGTCCCCGCTGTCAAGCGGAGGGCCCCCCCGAAGCGACGCCTTCCGCTCGCGGTCCTCGGGCGCCAGCCCCCCAGGCGCCGTCGTGGCCTCGCGCACGCGCCCATGGCTGCAGGACTGGGGGCTGTGGCCCCAGTGCTCCGTGGCCGCGCGCACTCCCTCTGGCGACAGCCCACCGCGCAGCGGCGTCGACTCCAGGCTGGGCCTCGAGCGCAGCTCCCCACGGGACGCCTCCTCGCGCGCCGCCGCCGGGGTGCCTCCCGCACGCAGGAGCAGCCCTAGGCAAGAGTTACCTGACGCGCGCGGCTTGCCGATCGCTGCGCGCGGCGCGAAAGTAGCGGCCTGCGCGCTGGGGTAGGGCAGCGCCGCGCGCCCAAGGTCACTCTGGCGAAGGGTCACCCTTACGTCAGGCCGAGCCTCCGCTGCTGCCGCTGGAAACGCGCCGGGAGCGCCGAGAGGCTGGTCCTGCGCTCGCAGGGCTGCCGAGAGACGCCGCCGACCCAAGGCGAGGCCTCGTACTGGGCGCGGCCCAAGCCTCCACCGTGTCTGGCCCGTTTGTCGGCCCCCCGTACAGGCTGCGGTCGAGGCGCTCGGTGTCCGTGCCCCCCTCCTCGGGCTGCGGGAAGCCGCGCGATGTGGCGGTCTCGCGCGAACTGTCGGAGCGCTCGCCTTGGTCTGACCGCTCCTCCCAGCCGTCGGAGCGCTCGCAGCGATCCGAGCGCTGCTGCGAGCCCGAGCCGTCGGAGCGCTCGCCGCGATCTGAGTGCTCCGGTTCCGGCGCCCACTCTGCGCGCGGGGCGGCCAGCTCTCCCAGCTTCTGCGCGTCGCGGCACCCGTCCCAGCCGGAGGGCTCGATGCGGGCGCTCCCGCGGGAGCCTGGCGGGGCGGCGTCGAGGTCGGGAGGCCCGCTGCAGGAGCAGCGGTCGGAGCGCTGCAGGGCCGCGGCTCCGCCCACAGGCTTCGGGCCGACGCTCGGCGACACGGAACCGAGGAGGCAAGGGCCGCTGCGGGAACCGCTGCGGGACGCGCGCGCCTCCTGCGCCTTCCCGACCTCCCGCCAGCAGTTCGCGCCCTGGGCGATCAGGGACAGGTCTCTGACCCCGTCTTTGCACGGCGCGGTGTCGTGGTGCACCGTCGCGTCCGACTCTGGCTCGAGCGCCTTGGCTAGAGAGCAATAGGACCCACCCTCAGTAGAAGCACCCCGACAAGCGAAGCCGTTCAGTGAACGCGCCCAAGGAAGGGATCGAACAGGGCAGGGCTGTCTAGTAAACGCCCAGGGCCGTTCAGAAAACGCCAGATGTCGGGGTCGGGGTGCTTTTTCCTCCCTTGGTTGGCCCCCGCGGGCGCGAGCGCGAGCGCCGCGCCCCGCGCCTTCACCCAAACGTGCGCGTCCTGGAGGGCGTCGCGGCCGCCCGCGCGGGCGGTCGAGCGGGTGGAGCCCCGCGCGGGGGCCTCCTCGGCCCCCGGGGGCCCGCGCGCGGCGCTTGGTCTCGTGCCGCCCCTCGCCCAGGACGCGGCGCGGTCGCGCGGGTCGGCGGCCCAGGTGGCGGAGCGGGTGGAGCCTCGGGGCGGCGGCCCCGCGCCGGGCGCGTCGGACGTGTCCTCCGAACTGAGCAGCCCCTCGCGGTCCTCCGCCGGTCTGCCGTCGGAGCTCGGCGTCTCCGAGCCAGGCCTGGCGAGGCCCTCGGGCTCTGCGCGGCTGATGGGCGCGGCGCCCATACACAGCGTGCAGCCCTGGCCCCCGCAGGCGAGGCAGAGTCCCTGGCTGGTGCGCCCGTGGCCGAGGCTGCTGTGGGCCGGGGCGTGGCCGCTGAGGGACCCGCGCGCGCGGCTGCGCATCTGGGCGAGCGACTCCGCGGTCAGCGACTTGCGGTGGGGCTGGCCCCCGAGGCTGAAGTGCACCGAGGCCTTGCCGTCGCCCCCCTGGAGGACGACGCCGGGCTCCCAGCTTCTCGACTTGTCGCACCAGACGTCGACCTCCTCGCCCACTTGCGGGTCGAAGTCGAAGGGCGCTCCGCCTCCCGTGGCATCGCGAGCCCCGGCGCCGCTGCTGCGGCGCGAGTCGCGGGAGGGCTTCGAGGTGCAGGCGGAGCTACGGGTCGCCCCCGCCTCCACCTGGCGGCTGCGTGGGCCAGAACTTCGGGAGGCCATGGGAGAGCTAGGTCCTTCAGGAACTCCGGTGCAAAATCGGAAAGTGGGGACGCGTGTACCTGGAATCGATCCTTGAGCCAAGCTGGCGTAGGAGAAACGGATGAGGATGAGGAGGACCAGAGTGAATCCAGGATACGTCAACGATGCTGCAGCACACCCTCCCGTCCACAAGTCCCTTCGTCTGAAGTCCCCACAGGAAGTCTTTCTCACGACGGAAACCAGAAAGCACCCCCTTGATGAAAGACCAGCGTCTCATGGGCTTGACACTCAGGCGAGAGTACTGTTTTGAGAAGCTGCCATGCATCCTTTGAGCGATAAAGAATGTAACGAATAATGATCAACACGTTCGAGGAAACGTCCAACGATGGCCCCGTATTGCAACATATCCGCCTTAGATCCATGTAGCCCAGTCATGTAACATCTCAGTGACACAAATATTAAGCGATACCAAGGTTTCGAAAAGGATCCCTTGTGACTGTTTGGCAATTCGCTACGTCTGGTGGCAAAATACGTAGTCTCAAGCGAACGCCACATCTTGAACAGAAACTCTCCTCCATGCTTGTTCCTGCTGGAATCTCTTAAGACGGAAGGTGCGCGGCGCCAACGCGATAAGCACATTTCGAAAACCGGCGGCACTCCATCCCTGCAGGTCACTTTTACGGCCAAGGTGCGCGGAGCTGAAGCGAGTCACATTTTGATCCCCTCTCTTGGGAAGTTCCACGGAAACACCCTGAAGACCCCTGGAAACCACGCGAAACCCCAGTCTCCGGGAGGCGACGGGGACGCCGGACGCCTGCAGGCTTCGTGCAGGGAGGCTCCTGGAGGCCTTGAGAGCCGCTGGAGGCCCCCGGGAACTGCTGGAGGGCCGCCAGGAACCTCGAGGATAACTTCGTGGAGCCCCTCTGGGGGCTGATGAAGAGATCCGCGGACCTCCGACGGCATGTTTCGATGCTTGGTGAAACCGGGGGTATCGGGCTCTTCCTTGTTCCGCGCTCCCAAGCCGTTTTCCGACGGTCCCGAGGCACGGAACTGGCCTCCCGATGGGAAGATTGGCGACAAACTGGCCTCCTCGAGTTTCCTGGAGACGCCAGATGCCTGGGCTCGGGCCGAGACTTGTCAGAGCTCCTGAGGACCCCCATTGCGTCGTCTGCCCAATGCCCGCGGCGCTCCTCTTGCGTTCCACCCTCCTCTCGTGACCACGGGGATGGCTGCTTCTGTTGAGCCAGCCGTGCTGCCTTCCCGAGGCGCACCTCGCCGCCGCCGCCGCTCTGCTGGCAGCGTCGCTTCGCAGCGACCTGCACGACAGCAGAGCACCGCCGTAAAGGCGGCAAACAGCAAGGCGGGCGGGGCCGCTTCGAGGCCGACGGCGACAAGGGCGAGGGCGATGATGAGGACGACGAGGGCGACGAGGGTGACGAGGAGGACAAGGGGGACGCGGGTGAGGACGACGAGGGCGGCCAGGACAACGACCAGCACGATGGCGAGGACGACAAGGGCGACGGTCACGACGACGAGGAGGAGCGCCAAGGGGGCAGCGGTGGGGGAGGGGGGTGGCGGTCCGCCTGCGAGTGGATCGCGTCCCGCAGAGGGCACAGGACGACCAGGTGCCTCCCGCTGCCCAGGGAGGGCAGGAGCAGAGGAATATCAGCCCACCACTGCGGCTCTGAGGACGAGCGCTGGGCCAAACAGAGACCAGGCGGGCGAAGCTGCGGCCTCAGGGCATCATGTATGCAGAGTGCGAAGCAGAACAGACAATCGGAGGACCGTCAGGGCCCCGGCCTGGCCCTGAACGCTACCTCCTCGCATTCCTGCACGAGCCGAGTTCAAGCTGAAGCCAGTGATGCATGCCAAGCTGAGGGCCGCAAAGCGCTTGAGGGGCCTCGCCCTGTAAACTCCTGCGGCCACGGCGCAAAACCTCAGGCCGCCCAAAACAAGAGTGCCCTGCACCCCTCCCGTCCTGCCAGCAATGGCGCGCAAGAGCGAGAATGAGGGGGGGAAGCACACATGCTGAGCACCTTCCTCTTCCTCCGCCCCCGCCTCCGCTTCCGCCTCCGCCTCCTCCTCCTCCTGCTCCTTCTCCTGCTCCTCCTCCTTCTCCTCCTTCTCCTCCTCCTCCTCCTCCTCCTCCCCACCTCCTCCCTCTACCCTGCTCCCTCCCTCGCCCTCCTCTCATGCTCCTCCTTCTCCATCCCTCATCCTTCGCTTCTCCTCCTCCTCCTCCTCCTCCTCCTCCTCCTCCTCCTCCCCCTCCCTCCCTCATCCTCTCCTCCTCCCCCTCCTCTCCTGCTCCCTCCCTCCTCCCTCCCTTCCACTCACTTTGAGAGCAACCAGCGGTCGTTGAGATCGCGACGAGCAGTCGGGGGTGGAGTTGGTCAGGTTGGGTGGGCAGAGGGGGTGAGATCAGAGAGACATGTGCCTGCCTCTCTTGCTTCTTTCCGCCAGCCGCCTGCATGCCACGCCGCCCGCCTGCTTTCTCGCCGCCCGCATCTTCGACAGAGGTGCGACCCCCTTCGTTCAGCTACCGACGCATATGCACGTTTCCAAGCCTTGGCCCGGGGGGGGCACCGGCAGGGGGTCCGGTGAGCGTAGTCCGTCGCTAACCACACACCCGTTGCGTGTGGCACCGGACCCCCGAGTGTTCTCCCGGTGGCGCCGCCCCTCGCCAGGTGCTTACGCACCTGATCGACGCCGCCGCCTGCCTGCATGCATCATTGCAGGGTTGTAGTACTGGGGAGGAGGCGGGTTTGATGTCAAGAGGTTTCGGGCATTCTCCGATGACAGCGCTGTACTTACCAGTCGTTGGATACGGTCGGCCAGTCGCTTGTTATGCCGCACGTGTGTGATCATTGTTGTCAGATGCCCCAGCCAGTTATCTCACAGGTGTGGGTCCCACTCTCTGCGATTCTGGTTACTAGTTGCTCTGACTCGCAGTTCATACTGTAAGTGGGTGTGCTCTGGTCACAGCAAACTCCGACACGATTTCGACACTCGTGCCTGGCGTGATATCTCACGAGCGAGCTTGCAGATACTTTGCACGACTACTCTCGTCTCCTCCCGCTGTAGTTCCCCCCCCTCGCTCTTGCACTGTGAAGGTTAGGCGATGCCATGGGGCTGAGAGCTCGCCGTCTTTCTGTCACCGCTCACCCTTACTTAACCAGCCCCCAGGGAGTTGGCAGCAACCAGCACCAGCAGGACGGCCCTGCTGCTCGCTATTGCTTAACTGCCCTGAACTGGTCGTGGCTGTTTTATTAGCGCCCGTGCAGAACTTTTTAGCGCCTGCTCATATTCTGCCAGCGTCGCGCTGCTCTTTATTGCTGACAGGCACTGTGCTTCATCAGCCGCGCAATCCAAAAAAATCCTCCCTTCCTTCCTCACCTCCTCCCTCCTCATCATGCTCCTTGTCTTCCTCCGCCCATATCCACCCTGCCCCTCTCCTGCTCCCTCTCCTCTCGTTCTCCCCCTCCTCCCCCCCTCCCTCCCCTCCTCAGCCTCTTCCTCCTCCTTTCCTGTGACACGCCCCCACCCTCCCCCGAAGCGTGGATGGAACATGGAAAGGCGAGGGACCTCCCGACCCCATCCCGAAGAACTGCTTCTGCGCCTGGGGAAATTCTTTGACTGCCTCTGGGCCCGAAAAAATGCATCGAGGGGAAACGATACGGGGGGGGACTGGCGAATGGGGTAACGCCTTTTATGTGGAATCGGCGATGATAGATCGGCTATAGGCCCTCGGCAATGAAACCGAACGTTGGGGGCATATATTTCTCCCCTACGCCAGCCCCTCTGTCGTCACCGGACTACCCGCCCCAGGCTTGTCGAGGAGGAGGAGGAGGACGTGGTCGAGCATGATCGATGATGATGATGATACTGATGATGATGATGATGATGATGATTATGATGATGGTGATGATGATGATGCTGATGATGCTGATGGTGATGATGCTGCTGCTGATGATGATGCTGAAGATGCTGCTGGTGATGATAATGGTGATGGCGACGACGATGCTGATGCTGATGATGATGAGGAGGAGGATGAGGAGGAGGGGAAAGGAGGAGGAGGATCGAGAAGGAGGGGGGAGCAGGAGAAGGAGAAAGAAAAGGAGGAGGAGGAGGGGGAGGAGGAGGCGGAGGCAGAGGGGAAGGATGATGATGATAATGATAATGATGATGATGATGATGATGATGATGATGATGATGATGCTGATGATGATGCTGCTGATGATGATGATGAGGAGGAGGAGGAGGAGGAGGAGGAGGAGGAGGAGGAGGAGGAGGAGGAGGAGGAGGAGGAGGAGGACAACGACCCACGAACCTCGGAGATGCTAGCTTGGAAGAACACTTTCCTGGTTGACACGGGTCCTGGTCACTGGAGCTTCTTCCAGGTCGGCCCATCATGTTGTTTTTTGTTTGACGGCCCTGGGACCCCAGAGCGGCTCCTGGGAACCAGAAGCATGCGAAGAACCTTCAGCACCCTTCTCGTCCAAGACTCCTGTCTCCTTCGCGGCGACCCGCAGAAATTGACCCCGGGACCCACCTGGAGCGCGTGTAGGCCTATATGTCGAGGCGAACGCAGCCGTGGCCACGTCAGATGCCCAGCGAGATTGAAAGAGGCCCGCAACCTCAATCCTCGAAGCTTCGAACCTCGACCGTCGATCCTTGAATGCCGATCATGCAGAGGCTCTTCGTGGCGAGGGAGCCGGGGCGGGCGAAGCGGGGGGATGGCAAAGGAGACAGGCTCACACACCACCTCACGAAGCCGACTTGCCCAGCGCTTCCCTGGCGCTGGGTGCAAACCTGCACCCCTGGCGGCGGGGCCGAAACCGGTTGCATGCAGCAGGTTTGGGCCCCCGGAGGAGGAGGAGGAGGAGAAGGAGGAGGAGGAGGAGGAGGAGGAGGAGGAGGAGATGGAGGAGGAGGAGGAGAGGAGGAGATGGAGGAGGAGGAGGAGGGGGGGAGGAGGATATGGA